TATCCATGATTAAAAAAAGCTTTAAATAAGCTTCTATCACAAACCAAAACATTGTTTTTACAGATCAAAATCAAATTAATAAGTCATTTTTTTACAAAATGGTAATAACATTGAATACTTATCCCGAAGTGAACAAAGGCGGATAAAAAGACTCGTTGTCATTCTAGTTGTGATGATACTTAATTAAAAAACAAGGAAGTACGTCCACGACACTGCATACAACGACGTTTAGTCTTATGTAGTGATGCTAAGTTCGCATTAGTCTTAATTGATAAACGCGTTAGAATCCTCTAGTATGAAGATTTCCCGAAGACCTTTCACACATCTGATTAAAACTTGGCATATGTCAATCTTGTTACATATTGTAACCAATGGCTTATTAATTGAATTTTCTTTCCATAGAAACGAATATCAAATTTAAAATTCTTGAGTGTGGATAGGTACGAGTGAAGAATATGAACAGTCATACCCATCCATCCACACAGGCATTCCTTAGGGTGCTCAAACAAATACGGAATAGGTTCGATATTTATTTACAAGGACTTGAAAATCCTTCGTTCTGAGATTCTTCTAAGAAAATCAAATCTGAGCATTTTTCAGTGTCGAATTTGGACACTGTTCTTTATTTTACAACTAAGATCATCGTCTAGAGTTCATAGAAACTCTTCTAGCATTTCTAGACAATGTTTTGCAGCAGATCTTCTCTAAAAACCTGATAATAGCTTAATGTTACACTTTCTATCTCTTCGAGAATGTGGGGCATGGGTGTGAGTGTGGGTATGAGATGTGGATGTCCTTGAAGAGAAGATGCACACCCATACCTACACACCAACTTAATTCACCTGAATTATACTTTAAGCGAACCGTATCTATGAAATACGATTGTTCTCTATAGCCATACTCTCAATTCGAAAACCGAGCGCATAACAATACGTCAAAAATCTTGAACCGATCTATATATGTATTCGTTCGAAAACATTTTTATGATTTTTTTTCGTTTTTTTTCTTGTTTGTGTGAGTGGGTCTCGAGAAAATAATCGGCAAAGATTCCAAATGAATCCGTAAGTTCTACACTCACAATCCTTATTAGAATCATCATTGCTTTTGCACGGATTCGAAACGCTTATTCTTGAAAGCCGTCAAAAAAGTTCGTGAAATGTTACCGTAAAGGTTCTAAGAGTAGGCATAAATCGGATTCCTGGAATCCTCATGATATCATACTAAGACGTATAAACTTGGTATTCTGTCGGGGCATATTACTTTCTTGCTAAGATTTTAGCTTGGTTTGGCTATGAATTTCAATGGGATTCTGCTATGAACATGATGAGAAGGCCTTGTTAAGACCTTTTGAATTTATGTTAGTCTTCTTTGCTACATAAGATTCGATCTAATCTTTGCTGAATTCTGATATTATCGTGTCAATATCCCATGAACGATCAGTGTTTTGTCTTCTAAGAATGAAAAATGCTTGTTCTTGAAAATCTACTGATTGCATCTTGGAAAATTTGGAAAAGAATTCTTTTTTTGCAAGTATACATCCGATTTCTGGTATTCTGACGAAATCTTGTTAGAATTTTGCAGTTCAGGATTCATCAGGTGCCGGTTTTTTTCTTCGTTATGCTTCTACTTTAATATAATGAGAACTCTAAACCAGATTCTCGTATGAGGATTTTGAACATATATTTCTAAACATCGAATAATATAGTGATGATCAAGAAATCTTTGTATCTTGATGCATTCGCTGATTTCACTCATAAATAGACGAATAGATAGGTTATGTATCCAAGCTGTGAATATTTTATTTTATTTCATTCTTCTCATTCGATTAGTCGATATTTCTCATCAAGCATATGATTTGCCAACCTTTTCTTGGTAATGAGTCTAAGACAGTTTTAGGATATACTCAAGGTAACATTTCTCTACCAGAGAAGCAAATTTAAATTTATATAGTAAAGACACTGAAATTGAAATAAAACACGTGTTTATGAGTTTTCTTTTCTTGCTCAATTTTATGTGACTTTGCATTCAGTTGTCATGAGTCTTCGTTGTTTTAGAGTAGTTCAGCATATCGACTATTTCAGACTTGAAAAAAGGTTATTTTTCAATGACCCAATCGCTTATGTTTTTTCTCTTCAATTTGATTTTGTGCATTTCCATATTATTTTCTATTAATTTTCTCATTTCTTTGAATATTTATCTCTTTCACTCATATTACGAAGTAAACGATTCTTTTTTGACGCATTTTCATTTCTATTTATGGATTAGCTGACATTTTTTTTAGGCATTGATTGCATTGTTTTTCTTAGAGTTAGTTAAAAGTTAATGTAGATGATAGATTGGCTATCATAGGCAAGAGGGTTGAATATAATTTTGTTATAAAATTTTTAGTACTTTCATTGAAATTGGACATACATGTACAGCGATTGAATGTTTTTTTTGTTTTTCTATTCACGTCAGCAAAGATGATGAAAAAGCGAATAGTTATAGTTAGATATCATAAATAAGTTTCAATTATACTTTTCATAATGTTCGATGGCTTATTTTGATTTAATTTTTGTATGTTTCGAATATACAAAGTCGAACAGATTGAAAAGATATATTTTGAAATCTAATATCTAAATATTGGAAAAATACAAAAAGAAACACATTTAAAAGTAGTAGAATCATTTTTATCAATATATCTTCACATGTTGCTTTAGCCCCTCTTCCTAGAAGAAAAGTCGATTTCTTGTGAAAACCATGAAAATTCATATAAATGCATAGGAAGATAGTATGAAGTCAAATCTTTTTAAAACGACATGACTTTTTATGTGACACTTCGTTTTTGTTTCAAAAAATATCTGTCATTTTCTGCTTGGAAAAATATAGTTTCTGAGATAAACTGAAAATCATTTTTGCTTTTTCTTAGTTTATATTTTTTGGATTGGGCATCCCAGCATGTTCGAAAGAGCTTCATTGTAGCTTATGACTTTTTCTTCGATTTGAAAGAGTATGTCAAGAGACAGGACATGACAGAGTCCTTTCTTAAATTGATCTTCGTTATTATCAAATAAAGGAGTAGTTTTATGATTAGAACGCCATTTTTTTGAGAATGTAAGAATTGGGGTGTGGATGTGGGTGTGTATGGAAAGAATCAGCCCACACTCACACCCATACCAAGAGCCATACACACGTCATTTTTATATCATGAATAAAACATGATGAGGATACATCGAATGGTATTTAAGCAAACTTTCTCGCTGTCACAGTTTCGAAGATAATTGATAAAAAAAATGTGTCAAGAAAAGTAATAGTATTACGTTTGAATAAGGTATTTCACTCAAAACAAGATATTTTTGATTCAAACAACAAAAAAAATCTAGAAATTTCAAGTATGAGTAAATTTTTATAGGATCATACATTTTTATATTTGAATTTTGGACTGACTTGTTGATCTCATTTTGCAAGCGCAAGTCATATAAAAAATAACAAAATAGAAAATAAATGAAAATAAGGATCAAAATTGTAATTTTTGTGTGTCGAAAAGTTTTTCACTAATGTTGACTTTAATTTGAAGCAATCCCAGGGTTCTATAGCTTTAAATAATGATATAGTCTTAAGAGATTCTCAATGTAAGGCATAAATATCGCCTATCCATAAGTTATTTAATTATTGTTGAAAATTGTAGACCCGGAAACGAACCTTGCTAAGCCCCAAATGAGAGCTAAGAATAGATTTCTCTATGTAAAAAAAAGAACGTCTTATAACAATCGATTCTAGAAGAACAACATAATGTGTTAAAAAAATAACTTCTAATGAGCATGTGATTTTGCAGATAAAACTATGAAAAACAAAAAGAAAAACAAAAGAGAAATTTCAGTTGTGTAGTCTGACGAAGTTTCTTTTGTCTACAGGGTGTCCCAAAAGTCCGCAGAAAAATAAAATGTGAATAAC